TGGCACACAAACCACAAACACACTCACACCTGTGGTCAGCCGAATAGCACACTACGAAAAACATATATGCACAATTTCAACAGATGTAGTGTGAAATTCGAAATTGAAATACTTCACATTTTTCAAAATATTTATACAATTGTGTACACATAAAAAAACTGTATGTTGTATGATGATTTTTTTATAGCTTCTGATCATATTTGAATTCATTAATTTGGTTACTGGTGGGACTTAACAAATTAAAATGATTTGAAAATATAATAGCTGCATTTTTCTCTGTGTATAATGTGCCGCAGAAATATCTCACAGTTTGATATTTAGCATTCAAATAATGTAGGCTGATTTACACAATGGTGGTCACATATATAGTTTGGGATTTAAATACAAATCAAACTATAAAAAAGACTAGGACAAAGAAATGATATTTTAATTAAAAAGCAATTAATGATATTTAAGTTCTTCAAGTGATTTAAGTATCCAAATAGTATTTCTAAAAGGAATACCATGAGTTATAGAGATTGTTTGATTATTTTTGTTTTGGGTCTTAAAAACATGTAATATAGATCAATTGTAATATTTTTTCGACCTCCATTGTGTGGGCAGACTTAAATAGGTAATAGGGCTACTGCACAGTGGGAAACACAGAAACGCTGTCCAATTTGAATATGATAGAATTACTGTGGCTAAATATAGAATTTACTACTCTCGATTAAATTGCTGCTTGATTTGCACACAAAATATTTTTGGGCATTCAAGAATATTTTGGTATTGCTGGGCGGTGATAAGTATACTGACAATTGATAACGATTAGTTTTGAAGATGGATGGTGACGTCGGTAACAAAAATAAAGAAATGGCGGCGATTTCTGGTTGTTGCCAATGGGAACCCGTTGAAAGCATTATAGTTTATATTAACACAGTAATATAAGTTCACATTTTTCACTTTTCCCATTTCCGTTACAATTGCAAACAAATAATACACAATTGGCACAGTTCCCAATAAAATTGACAGTATTCAGAATGGCATACTTAAATATATAAAATATATTGGGGCACTTTCTAGTAGCTTTACTGAAATTTGATGTAGAAGTTGTTTGAATTGAATTTAAAGGTTAATTATCATTAAGAATGTAAATAATTATTTTATATTTATTTTTGATTTTTAATATCATTTGCATAGTTGTTCTAATTACTATAAAAATGATAAGTCATAATGATATTTTAATTTAAATTGAATTGATAACCCAAAACACATTTTCTCAAGTTTTAGAGCTAAGTAAATGTTTAGGAAAATTTGCTGTGATTAGATTCTGACAAAAAACAATAATTATTTTGAATACAAATACATATTTTCCATTCGAAGTTCCTTAAGTTCCTAATTCTCAAAGTAAAAGGACAATGGTTTATAAATCTTAAGTAAAACTTCTGATTGACAAAATGTTTACTAATTTAAAAAATTAAAACATTTTGTTTGGAGAGCAATATTATGATAATAGTACTATTTAAAAATGCAGCCCCTATATGCAATGCAAATGCTGTTAATAGTCGAAATAAATCAGTGTTCTGATTTTTCCGATCCATGCCATACTATTCATAAGTCTTTGTCTGGGAAAATGTGTTCACTGTTTTACCTTGTGGCCTCATAATCGAATCTCTTTTGTTCTGGCCTTTTTTTGTTTAGCCTAAAAGTTAATAATAATTTCCACTGTTCCGCTGCACAGAAGCGGCAGCAACAATTACACACGCACTGCTGGCCAGCGGCACAATTACCGTTGTTGGCATTACAACAATGTGACAATGGCTGTCCCGTCTGCCCATAATCATAATTATGACTATGACTATGAGATTATGATTATGACTGAGACGATGATGATGATGAGTTCGCTGTATGCATGTCAAGTGTGCCGTGGGTACCGGAAAATCAATTGACTGTGTGACAGGCGGACAGTTCGAGATGTACTTTCACAATAGCTATAGATATAACCAAGGCCCACCGGTCGATCAAATTTCTGTAGTCAAAAAAAAAAAAACAAATAAATAAAAGAAGAAAAAAATGAAATGGAATCATGTCGAGGTCAGCTGTTCAATCAGCCTCCTTTTCTTGGTTCTACAGAGAGAAAAAGGTAAAAAAAAAAAAGTTTTTACATTCGATTTAGACAATTTCTTTTCAAGTATCTACATTTTGCACGTTAAATGGTCACACTATATTTACAAAACAACTGTAACCAAATCATTGAAATATAAATATTTAAATTAGTTTTTTTCTGTCTAAGACTGATATTTTATTGGATTTCTAAAAATGTTTCTAATTTTACCTTTTTGAAATAATTTTTAGCATATTGAAAGTCCATACAAAATTCCTATTTCAAAAAAAAAATTTTATATAAGTAACGTTAAAGAAAAGATGAAAATCCAGCACAACTTTTGAGATATATTTTCCTCGTGTATTTGGATAATCGATTAGAAGATTCAACAGACCCCCGATTGCGGGTTTTTCTTTTCTTTTTGCGTTCTTTTCCCTTGTTCTTTCTTTTCTTTGAGACTCTGTCTAACTGTAAAGAAAGAAAGTTCTACAGCAAGTGGCGAGCTCAAACATCATCAGCTGATGACATCACGCTTCAACCGGCAAATTAATGCTCCCCACATACAATAAAAAAGAAACACGCATGTGGAGAGACTGGGCAACAAAAAGGTCATAACATGTGTTAAGTCTAATCTCTCCGAAAATGGAATATGCCACCTAGACGAAAAGCGAGACACGGAGTAAAACGAATTGTCAGCAAATTTGATTTGATGCCCGTTTGACAGCCATCACGAAGAAAAAATCACCTTCTAAATATGTCTTGTCAGCTGCTTTGACCAAAGGCTATTTATTAAAGATGGAAAAAAATAATATTATTAGCAAATATTTCGGGTAAAAATTAAAAATGTAATAAAATGAAGTGAAACTATCTTTGTAAATGTTATTCATTTTTCAGGTATAATAATTTCTTATAAGCGTTCAATACTAAGCTAAGTTCATTATGATTCTGGATTCTTCAGAAAAGCAATTTGCTTAGTTAGAATTTATTTTTAAGTAATAATGAAATTTAAAATGTTTTGTTATTTTAGTTTTGACAGCAAATAAACCGAAAACTTTTAAGTCAAAATTTCAACAGCATTTAAAATGTTGGTTAGCTTAAAAGAATTAGATCGTACGCTCTTAAATATTTGTAATGCTCTAGTGATCAAGTGATAGGGATAATCGAAAGTTATCGCTTTAGTTGCAGCTCTACGATGGTAGTCGATTGTAAAGCTTGTTTGGTGTGCTCTGTTTTATCGGCGTGATGCCAACTAGAACAAAGTTTAAGCGCTTGATTCGAATTTCGTGGGTGCGGCACATCCATTAGATACGCGTTCAGATACAGATACACAAAATGCAGCCGAAAAAGATGTGGGTCAACAACCACCGAATGAAGTTGACCCACTTATATATATTGCTTTAAAATGCACACACACACACACAAACTGGCGACACGCATATGGTCATTATGTAATAAAAACGATGACGATGTTTAACGGTATTCCAGTTAGAACAACTGCAGCGCCGGCGCATTAAAAACTCCAATCGGAGTTCCCTCGGTGGTGGGAAATGCGAAAAGCAGACGGAGGAAAACCCAAACAAACAAACCCATCTTCCAATTGGACTGATAACAAGTAAGAGAGGGGGCTGAGCAAAAGAGAAGAAAAAAGAATGGAAAGGACGAGAGGGTAAACAAAAATACAGTGGCAGTTCTCCAATTTGAATCCTTTTTGGCGGGTTTATAATTGGCCGGACATTAGTTGTCTACTTATAATTCCTTCTAAATTCAAAAAATAAAAATTTTAAATGTTTTCTAAAAATTAATATTGTAAAGTTTATTTTGTAAGCTAAAAAATGCAACAATATTTTTTGAAGAATAAAAAAAAACAAATTAAGGTCACTATTTTGAAAAGCCATAATATAAATATTTTAATTTTATTCATTTATTTATTAAGTTTAAAATATGTTTATTTATTTAATAATACAAGCGTATTCTATACAGATCTCATTTCTACTTGTTAAGCTTATGCAATTAAATTTATCAAATTCATTAAGCTCAATCGTAATTGTTTTTACGAAGATATCCACAACAATTTTAAATGTGTTTGGGGCACCAAAATAAAGTTAATGATCTTATCACGCAATAAGAAACAGAGCTACGATGTCTGTTTAATTATTTCCGCTATTATTTGGCATTGTTTCCTTCTACTTCTTAGCGATTTAATTAAAAGTATGTCTCTCGATTTGCAAAAAAAAATTCGTCAGTAGAGTGGCCACTGTACGTAGGTTAAAGCTTACAAAGTTTTTAAACCAAACTGCTGACGGTGAGCGGTTATTATCGATTCAAAAATTTGTGTGTCTCAAGCTTCCTGCCTTTGGGGGAGGTTGTGGGTAAAAAACGCGGGGATTACGACGGGGTTTTACTTTTAGGGTTGGGTGATGAGCACAAAGTTCATCGTTTGCTATTTGGGTTGATGAAAATGCTTTTCCACAGCTGAATTTGCTCTGAGGCTTAGAAAAACAGATCAGCTAAACAGCACTGTTATGAATGGATTGGATGAAAAAAAAAAACCGGGCTAACTACGGATCTAAAAAGCGAAACAAAAGTGAAAGCTGCCAAAAAGTCATTAGACGGATTATTTAATGAGGTAAAAGTAGGCCCCTTTTTGAGCCACACACAATCGTACTACCATAAAAGCCCTGCATGCCCACCGAATGTAATCAACTTGTTACACTGACAAAAAACTACATGAGATGTGCAAAAAATTGGAATTCTTATGAGCACTGCTATCCAAAACAATACCAGAAAAATTTACCTTATTTGTTAGCAAAAAAGGTGATCTTAAGAATAAATAGTGGTCATGACATTAATTCTATGCGAAATACCACTTTAATTGTTTTTAATGCATTAGTTATAGTACATAAAATTAGTTACTCACTCTTCCTGCACCTCAATGCCGCTGTCGTCCATGTTTCCCTTGGCATAGTCTCCACTGTAGCCGCCGACAGAGGGCAGATGCGACGGCAGCGTCGACGCCAGCTGCGGCTGACCAGCGGCGGCAGCGGCGGTATCCGCGGCAGAGTCCCCAGCCGCAGCGAACCCAAAGGTGGACTCCACGTGCTCCGACAACGGCGTCGGCGTCTCGAAGACCAGCGTCTCCACCATCGAACCCTTCGAGGATCCAAAAGAGACGCTGCGGAAATCAGAAGGTTAAAGGTCAAATGGGTGCACTCGAAGAATGATACCTTAACTTAAAGCGTAGTAAATAAAGACTCTACTATATATAATATCTTAAAGACTTATAGTGTATATATAAATGTATATACATGCAATTTAAAAAAATAACTAACTTGAGATATTATGATTGAATTAAGATTCACCAACTCAAATCACTGAGGAAAATATAATAGGGCTATTATTATTCTCAGAAAAATATTGTGATAATAATTATAAGAGGCTTATAAATTTTATAGCATAATATTTTAAAATAAATTTTGCGTCACTACATAACTTTATCAACGATTTTAATAGCTGTACTAAGAAATATAATATTTCTTTCCAAAAAAGTGAGGTCGAGATTATCGATTTATTTTTTTTAATTACATGATTTATGGATTTTTCCTTTGGATAAATAATCGAAAAGTAATCCTTTCGATACCCTTCAAGATACTTAGTAGCTCATCGATCAAGTTGCGTTAAAATGATTATCAAGAAATGCAAGAGATTTTCTAATCTTTATCGTACCCTGTTTTTGCACCTAATATTTTTCTCTGTATAGGGTGTTTATAAAAGTTTGAATATTTTTAGCGAATTTTGATATGTGCATGTGATTTTAACATGATGTTAAAAGATTAATAAATAGGCATAGAAAAGAACATATATATGTATGTATACCCCTTAATACACTTTGATTCTGAGCCCAGCCATTCATATGGAGTTAAAGTATTTTATAATCTTTAAATAAAATAATTAAAAAACCTGTGTGATTTGTAATGTGATTTCTTTGCATAATATATAGATATAAGAATGGGAAGTTGGGCGTACAAAAATAAATACTAATAATAACTAGTAGAAAAGCAATATTAAGGGTACAAAACTAAAATATATAAGAAACGAAAATAAGGAGTAAAATAAAATACATAGTTATAATAGGTATGAGGATGAAAATTTAAGAGTAAATTAATAATAAGAATTTAAACAAATAAATAATAAATAACGAACCGTTTGAGGCCGACGCTTTTGGTGCCCAATTTGCTTAGTTTGCCGGGTTTCTTTTGGGGGCGTGGGAATTTATCGCTCAGATCGCTGGACATTTCGTCCTCATCAGCTGTTGTTGTTGTTATCGTTTCTATATCCTCTGCTGCTGCGGTTGTTGTTGCTGCTGCAGCCGCTGCCGCCGCTTCCGCTGCATTGTTGTTGTTGCTACTGCTGCTGCAGCTGCTGCTGGCCTCGTTGTTTTTGCATTTGCTGTTATTTTTATTATTAGCCATGTTTTTAGCACTGACCACAAGGGAAGCATTATTGTTGTTGTTCACATTGTTGTTGTTGGTCTGTTGCGTTGTTGTTGCTGTTGTGTGCACCAGCGGCAGCGACGTCGGCGGCGCAGTTGCAGCGACGCCAGCAGAGGACGTCGACGTTGCAACAACAATCTCTTCGCTTAGCAAAAGCGTTCGCTCGTCGCAGTCGCCAGCGGCAGCGACGTCGGCAGCGATGCCGGCAGAGCCATTTGACAGCATTGCGGTTGCAGAAAAACGATTCGATTTCGATTTCGCGGCTAACGGGGCATTTCGAGGGGGCGGCGTGGGCGGGGCCAGGGCCAGCATAGGTGCTACAAACACACCTTAACACACTTAATTAAATCGGAATTTTGCACACACCACAATACAAAAAAAAAAACAGAAGCACACAGACACAGTGGCGAATATTAAACACTTTGTTTTAAAGCAGCACCGTAAACAGCAACCAAAAAGGCATCGACGTCGACTGCGACAGAGGCAGCGGCGGCGGCAGAGGCGTCGGTGACCTGCACTTTATTTTCCCCGCAATTGGCGCCTCAAAACTCGCGTTTATAAATAAATATAGAAGTGCATTTAATAAATCCGATGGCGCGCGCTCTGTTGCTCTTGTTTTTGCGGATCGGATGAGAATAATCGGAACAATCGTGTGTGTATATTTGGCAGCGCTGCGCTACAATTTCTGTTCTTTGCTGGCGATGACACCCGGCCGATAGGTCGACGGGTCATTGCGATTGCCCGATAACGCGCAGCGCGCGATAGTTGGCGGCGATAGTTTTTTGTGGGACATATAAATGGGTAATCTATCGCATGATGTAAAATAACAATAATAGTTAATAATAATTATGGGCTTATGACAATACATTGTTCGGGTTGAGGGCAGTGTTGAGAAACAAGAGAAACAAAAACATAAATATTTTCACACCTAGGCAGCGTAGCTAATGACGAAGTTTTCTTATGTAATTAAATAAAAAATAATTTTATAAATATTTTCTAGCTACTACTTTCAAAGAATTTATTGCGGGGGATGATAAAAAACAGTCAGTTTGGTGCAGCACCACATCAGTTTTGAAACAACATTAAATTGTACATTTTACATTTATATGTAAAAACTGCGAATCCATTTTTTTCGATTGCCAATTTTATGACAAATTCAGCGAGGATTGACATTTTAACATTTGCTTCTTAAGAATTTGATAAAAAAAATAAGACGAAACTTGATATGCTTTATTAGGACTTTTGCCAATAACAATAACATTATTTGAATATTAGTATTTTATGGCCTTAGCAATAAATCGATACTTTTATCTGCGTGACCTAACTCCCTATCGATAGCCTATCGATATAAGCTACACACCAGTTGGACCATCTCTATAGAGATGAGCAAATTTGCAATTTTTCGTCTTAATTTTCGCAGCACAAAAGCCACAAATAATCAACAACTAATCGAGATAAATGGAAGCTATAGTCGGGATTCGATTTGAGTAAAACAGGGGCGAAAAACAAGCCGCAAAGAAGTCACCTGGGCGAGGAGAATTGCTCATCTCTATTACAAATACGAAAATGAAATTGCGTGCATTCTAAATGGTAAGCTAAATCCAAAATAATTGGCTAGTAATAGTACAGAGTAAACACTGCACGCCGATGCAATGTACATAAGTTACTGTTTTTTATTTGCGGCCATTGAAAATCGCAAACATTCCACTGCACTTTGCAGCAACAACAACAACAACAACCAAAATAAGACAGCACTAACACTAATGCAAACACAAATGCGCAAATGTTTTTCTTTATTTTCTTTTGTTTTTCTTTTTGGTATATATAAAGTGCATAAAATGCAACAATTAGACGCTTTAATGGTTTCATAAACAGCAATAAATAGTCTGCAATTAAATGGCAAATCAATTTTTGCAAAACAAAAACACACCCAATTTCTTGCTAGTGTTTGTGAGTGTGTGTGTGCCATATCGAAAATCCTTTTACAGTGCGCGACATAATAACAAGTGCAAAAGTATGAAAATAAGTGAAATGTTTATAATTTTCGGCTGCATGTCTCACATTAATGGATTACTGGGTTAACAGAAAATAGAACGAACAAATATTGCCGGTTCGAGGGTTTGACTCTGCATACCGGTTAGCCCGGTTAGTAAAAATGCAAAGAAAAAAGTTTAAGAACCACAACCACTTTGTCCATAAAACCCTAGCCCACGACTAATTGCAGTTTGAATTACGTAAAAAAGAAAAAAGTGTCAATTTATGACAACACTTTTTGAGGTTTCTCGTTTTTATTTGCGGTCCCACAGAAAAAGATGTTAACAAGTCGGTTTTTCGAAGCAGTTATCAGTGGTGCCGAATTACTTAAGTTCTACACATAATATACAACTATACAATTCTTAGCTAGCACTTATTAGTTCTTGGTTTGAAAATATATCTGTATATCTAGTTAGAAACCCATCAGAATTTTGAATTTATAGAGATTTTTAAGGCAATCGGTTGGTTTTTGATCCACTTACCCCTTCTCATCGTTCAATACCAAATACCACGAATTTGTAGATCTGAATAGCATAAATAAGAGGATCCATTAAGCAATAATACTTCCCGGGTCTTATGCTAATAGATTTCTTAAATATTCCTCAATAAAACCATTTAACAACCGAAAAACCTTACCTTAATTGCAGCCACATGGGAACCATGACCAAGGACTACGACTATTTGCTGAAGGTTCTGCTGGTGGGCGACAGCGATGTGGGCAAGCACGAGATCCTCTCGAACCTGGAGGATCCCTCCACAGAGAGTCCTTTTTGCAGCGGGAACGGTGAGTACTGGCACATCCGGCGAATGACAACCACTGCACTCCAACCTAATAGACTGCACCTCCCATATCCTCCAAACGGTAGCCTACAAGACAACCACCATCCTGCTGGAGGGCAAACGGGTGAAGCTGCAGTTGTGGGACACCTCTGGCCAAGGGCGTTTCTGCACAATCATCCGCTCCTATTCGCGCGGCGCCCAGGGCATCATCCTCGTCTACGACATCACCAACAAGTGGAGCTTCGACGGCATCGATCGCTGGCTCAAGGAGGTCGACGAGGTCAGTTAAGATTTAATGGAAGGAGATCTGCATTTACTGACATAAACAGGCTCACCAAAGCATTGCCAAAGCACTTAGACTTTAGACATAAAGAAGTCTTTGTTTTGTATTAATTTATTAAAGTAACAACCCATGGCCGATCTATACTTTAAGTTACTAACGTTTTAAAGAACATTATCTTATCAAGAATGTATTGTTACATAAATTACCTATTCTTATGCTTACTATAAGCCTAAATTATATGGTTACGAAAAATCCTTACCATTTGCATCAACAATATGGTTACGAGGGATCCCAAGACCCCGAAAGATATAATTGAGTTCTTGAGTTCTATTGGTTTTTACTAATTTTGTAAGCATAAATATAAATTATTGCTTTGAATTCTTGAACATGGTTTATATTTTGTCTAATATGGTTATTTTCCTTAAAAGCTTGAAAAACATTTTAATACATTATTATTTATTTTGCGTTTTCAGCATGCTCCCGGCATCCCGAAGGTGCTGGTGGGAAATCGCCTGCATTTGGCCTTCAAGCGACAGGTGGCGGCCAAACAGGCCGAGACCTACGCCAGCCGCAACAACATGTCCTGCTTCGAGATATCGCCTCTCTGCGACTTCAACATCCGCGAGTCCTTCTGCGAACTGGCGCGCATGGCGTTGCACCGCAATGGCATGGAGCACATTTGGCGCAGCAATAAGGGTAATTATCTAATATATATATAAAACTTTGACTGGAGGGGAAAAAGTGCTATTGGAGTGGATAGCGTTAATAGGTTTTTAATAATATACATATCAGCTATTAATTGGAAAGCGATTGTATTAGTTGGATTGAACAAAATACTTCAGAATTATTAATTGCTTTTTGAGAAACATGTGTGTTCGTAAAATGATATATATAAATTCCTTGTAAATTGCTATGAAACCAACCTCTTCATATAATTTTCATAAACGTTTACAAATTTGGCAAACTCATATTTGCTATCGCCCAAGGCTTCATTGGTTAATTGGCTTAGGTTTGGTTGATTTCTATTAAATTCGACAAGACAATTAAACTATTTTTAGTTAAATTGCAAAAGATGACGCTTTTAGGTCAGTTTTGATTAAGTTCATTATGTCAATTCAATCATTTATCTTATTTTGGCAGTCGGATGCCAATTTTAAGCGATATATTATGCGGAATTTTTATTAATTGTGCTGTGGATGAAGTTAAAAGCTACAAAAAAAACCAATAAGACAATAGTCACTTAAGATTTTGTATATTTTTTGGAGTATATACAAATAATACTGTTTTTTTTTAATTTAGGGAGTGGCTGGCCATACATTGTCTGTATTGTTTGTTTAAAATATGTACAAAAATGTTATTCATTTGCATTTTAATTTGGTCTAAGGTATCTTAAAAGGTTTTAGTTTAAATATAAGTCGATTCCACATGGCAACAGGTATAGAGATTTTGAAAACACATTAGTACCATTAAATTTAAATTGTTTCTTAGAAGTTAAACTGTATTAGAAAACGTAAATCGCACTATTTTCCTCTAGAAACATACATCTGTAGAATGTATTAATTAACCCAAATGGAATCTTTTTGCAGTGCTGTCCCTGCAGGAGCTGTGCTGCAGAACGATCGTACGGAGGACGAGCGTGTACGCGATCGACTCGCTGCCGCTGCCGCCGTCGGTGAAGTCGACGCTCAAGTCATACGCGCTGACCACCTCGCAGTGCTTCAACTCGCTGACCCAGAGCTCCAAGAGCAAGAACCGCTGCAAGACGCCGACGAGCGGCAGCCGGAATAGCTGTGCGATCGCGTGATCGTTGCCTTGTAGGCCGCCGCCAAGCCGCCTACGTCGCCACGCCCCCCAACCGACATTAACTTTAATTGAGCTCTACTTATGTACTCTAGGCTAACACACACACACACAAACACACACCACAAATCACACATCAAAAACCAAACTCACCCACATTGAAGCCCCACCCCTTTGGTTATTTTATTTTATTTGTTTCATTGACATTGATATTTGTGGCCAACAATGTTTACTTTTTACACAGTAAAGCTTAAATTTATTTAATTCTTAACACACACCTTACCCCCACCCCCCCAAATTCCTTGTCCCCCCACTTCTCTCTTTTGCATTACTCTAATGTTGTTAATATTATTATGTTTGTATAATTCTAATATTTAAAGCATCAAACACATCATCATAACAAAAAGAAAAAGATAAAAAAACAGCAATTGAAAATCGATTTTTATATGGATAAAAATTAAAATTTTTTTTGTTTGTTTAACATTGGCTTAAAATATTCTTAGAGATGTATTGTAATTGAGGATAATTCAGCAAGAGAAGCACACACAAAGGCGAATTGATAAAGATAATTCATAATGAAAAACTAGAAAACTGTGTCTTCATTTATGTTCCATCCCTTTCTGATTCCTGTCTGGATGACCCTGTCTCTTTCCATTTACGTTTTAAAATTGAGGTAATTTAAATAGGTGAAAGTTTGCTTCGTTTTTCGAATTAAGTTTCTATAAAATTATGCAATACGGCAGGGAATTTCTACTCTAATGGCATTTAATGATTTAAACAGAGTTTGATTGATTGGCTTACATAAATTGTTAGCTAAATGTTTACTATAACTTATATAAAAATCGCCACTTTAAGAATTGGTTTCTTAAGTGATTTTAATCATTTAAAAGATTTAAGGACTAAAATTAGTTAGATCTTATCTAACGCAAAAGCATTTTGAATTTGTTGTAATTGATTTAAAGGTATAACAGATAAAAAATGAAAAATATATTCTCTTATCTTAGGGTAAATTATTACTTTAAATATACCCTAGATATTCCTTTATATTGGTAAAACTTAAATATTGGTTTAACTAAAATAAGAAAAGATTTCGTAATTAAAAGATTCCTCTTAACCAGTTGCAAACAAAACCAATCAATATCTGTTCGTTTCAACCACAAATTAAATTATTAAAATATATATATACTGTAGAAATTATGAGTGCGGATATACTCGCACTAACTAATATAGAAATATTAGTTACAATGGTTTCATGACTAAATTAATCTTAATAATCCTATATAATATGTGATTTCTTTAAAGGATGTAATTTCTATTGGACACATTTTTCCGTAAAGAATATGAGCTCTATAACATTCTAATCTATGAAGAACTTGATAAATAAGTTAGTTTAGTTTAGTTCGGTCTTCAGTTATATATGTATATATTTTTTGGATAAATTCTTGAAACTTTTACTATTTCGGAAAATATAAAATTTATTTCCACAGTATTTGAAACTTCGTCAGCTGGACTCTTTTGGCCCCCAATCGATTTGTTTCGTTTTCCACATCTGGTCGGGGTTGTCCCCTGTCGGATGTGATTAATCGGTCCGCTGCAAACCCAATTTGATATTGTAACATTATTTAAATGATTCAAATTGCCTTTCCTTTGGTTCGCCCTTTAAGCTACAACATTTTGCGGCTTCTTTTTCGACATCTATTTCTTCCACGGTTTCGGTTATTTGGCGTTTTGCTTTACACAATTCCCGGGTTGGCCAATCGAAAGGGGGCGGGGCTCTTGGGGGCAGTGGAATGGTTATACTTTTAACGTATTTTCAAAATTTCGATTGGAACAGCTGAGGCTTTAATGCGAAATGATAGAGAAATTATTGCACAAATTTACATACATTTCGATTCACTTTTTTATTGTGGCTTTTTTTTTAGTGTTTCTGTTTTATGGTTTTGCCAAATTGGTACGTTTTATTTAGATGGGTCATATTTATTTTACTAACAATTTTTTTTATCAATATTGAAATGTCATAATAAGTTATAACTATGTGAACAACATTTTCAAAGTTAAAATTGGAACGTTATTGGGTGTTTTCTTTATTCGAAAAACAACTCTTGTTTATATTTTGTTGAGAAATTTAAGAGAACATTTCCTTTTAATGTATTGAATAAAGATACCTAATTTATAAAATTCAAATATATTTTATGATGTATTTCTAGTTAAATGGCGATTCTAAATATAGACACAGATAAGCTGTTCTTAATAATCAAATAACTTATTAAACTAAAATTTTTAAATACAAATTCTGTTGTAAATTTAAATTTTAGAAATGGAAGAAAAAGGGAGCTTTTGGAATATTTAGAAGATATTTTTATGAACATGAAATATACATTTAAATATGAGATATATTTTAAGATGAAGTTTGTTGCTATCAAGTGATAAGTTCCCATTCTTAAATATTTTTTGCTTTTATTTTGCAAGAGCAGTTAACAGCATACATCCGACATTCCTTACATTTTTTAAATTAAGTAGTTACCGTATAACAAATTATTTTAATTGGATAAAATAAAATGGTTTTTGATTCCTTATACATACATGTTGAAAATGCAGCTATGGAAATTTTTGGTTCTCCCATATAAACCTGCATTGGGAAAGCGTTAATCCCACCCGATCCGACCTGAACTGACCTAACCCATTAATTAGTTGATCGGCGAGAGGGAGGGCGGTGGGCGGGGTTACCACCATCAAGCGATTCGTTCATGCCCGGCGGATTAATTTCGGCGGCTGGTCCAATTATGGAACTGCTTTTTACATATTTCTTTTTTCCACCGGACTCATTTGCATTTACCAGCCGTCGACGGGTTTTTTGTTGTTGGACTGCCAGCAGATGGACAGATTTTCGGTTGCTGGTCAAAATAGTGGAGCCCGATGACGAAAGCAAGTTCAGCGAAGATGGAACACAGCGCAATCCGGCTGCTATAAAAGCTGTGCATCGCTTGGAGTGGATCATCAGTTGGCATCCAGCTTCCTCTTCAGCTACGTGAAGTTCCCCAGTTTTCAAACCCCAAGCAAGAAACTTCCAAAAATGAAGGTGAGTCTTTCGAACAGAAGTGAAAAGAATCTGCAGTTTCAAAAATGTTTTTTTTTTACCTCAAAAAAAATAATAAAAATTTAAAAAGTTTTTTAAAACTATTTTAAAATTAGTCCTACAATGGAAATTTCATTTATTTTCAAATTTATAAAATCGTCTATCTTAAAGTCACTAAATTAAAAAATGTTATCAATCAAATTCAAAGGTATCTAAAACTTAAAACATTTTACTTGTTATCCAAATGCTTTTAAAATCATCGATGCTAAAAATCAATTATACACATCATTGAATTAAAGCCTTAACAAATTATAAAAATCATAAACTCAAAGCTAAATCCTTAAATCGAAGCTATAACGCAATATAAAAATCCCACATCAAAGTTGAGACTATGCAATATTATCTAAAATTAAAAAAAAAAATAATTTCTCATCCAAATTTTGAATGGTTATAATTTTTGTTATTTTGTCCAGATCTTTGTGTGTCTCCTGGCTGCCTTGGTTGCCACCTCATCGGCTGGCTTCATCGGTGGATCCGGCGGCGGTGGTGGTGGTGGCGGTGGCTACAGCTATGGCATCGGAGGAGGAGGCAGCGGTGGCCACCAGGAGGTGAAGACTATCCAGGTCATCCACCAGGAGGGTGGCGGCTACTCTGGCGGCGGCGGTCATGGCTATTCTGGCGGCCATGGAGGCTACTCTGGCGGCGGCCACCAGGAGGTGAAGGTCGTTAAGGTCATCCAACAGGAGACTGGCGGTCATGGTGGCTATTCCGGCGGCCATGGCGGTGGCTATTCCGGCGGTCATGGTCACCAGGAGGTGAAGGTCGTTAAGGTCATCCACGAGGAGGCACATGGACATGGTCATGCTGGCGGCGGTGGCTTCTCCGGCCATGGACACGGACATGGTGGCCATCAGGAGGTGAAATTGGTCAAGGTCATCCACGAGGAGGGCGGCCATGGCGGCCATGGACATGGCGGCTTCTCTGGCGGTCACGGAGGTCACCAGGAGGTCAAGACTGTGAAAGTGATCCACCAGGAGGCAGGCGGTCACGGCGGATACTCTGGCGGACATGGCGGTTATTCCGGCGGTCACGGTGGTCACCAGGAGGTCAAGACCGTGAAGGTCATCCATGAGGAGGGACACGCCCTGGGCGGCGGTGGCGGTTATGCCGGTGGCTTCTCTGGCCATTCGCATGGACATGGTGGCCACCAGGAAGTGAAGACCATCAAGGTCATCCACGAGGAGGGCGGTCACAGCCATGGCGGTCACGATCACGGTTACGCTCATGCTCACGCTCACGATCACGGTCACTCGCACGGTGGATTCGAGGAGGTCAAGACCATCCAGGTCATTCACGAGGAGGGCGGCCACGCCCCCAGCAACGAGTACCTGCCGCCCAGCAATGAGTACCTGCCCCCCGTATCCGCTCCACAGCCCGGATATCTGCCCCCATCCTCCAGCTGGAAGTGAAGTGGGAAATTCAATTCGATTCGATTTGATTCGAATTGATTCCACTCGATTCGAGCCATACTGATCCTTGAGTCTTGTTAATTAGTTTTAGGCCTCCTTTTTTTTCCCACCCATTTTTTTTTTAATGTTGTACCCATATTACCTCACTCGTTGAACAAATATACCATCTGTAAATTATAAATTGTTTGACTTTCTGTTTGGCATCGGGGATTGCTCACAGAAAAAAAAACTAAGGGATATATTTGCCAGCTTTTGAAAAAAATCTTGATGTACGAGGATGTAAGCAATTTGCATAACTTCGTATTAATTTCATAGTAAGGATAAATAAATTAGGATTTGACTGCTTTCTAGGATTTGGAATAAGTTTTTATTGTTATAAAAATCACCTATAATTTAAAGATTTTATAAAAAACCAATCGATGAAATCCCATACCTGCAAATTCGGCTCCCAAAAGTTGATTTAAATAACAAATTAACGTGCCGTCAATCATTTCCCATGGTTTCGAAACTGAATTTAAAACTACATTCTTTATGCCTGCGTTCGCTATTCATTCTTATTCCCCTCGATTCACGGTTCGTTAAGCTGTGTGAATAAGCATTTTACCTATTATTCCACTTTCGATTCGCGCTTCAATTTCACTTTCAGCCCGATCGATCGTCCAAACATTACCATAACCATAGTCATCCAATTTAGCGGTAGCTCAACGACCTGTTCATCGCCGAACTTGTGTGTTTCATGAGCATACTTCGTATCCAATGGATTTATTTTGTGTATCTTAACGTTTATTTTTAAGCTAAGAAATTTGTTTTGTGTCTTGTGGAACATGTTGTAGCGTGATGTTGTATCTTATGGATTTTTTCGAGTTGTATTGTATTTTGCGGATTATGTCAAATGTTGTTGCTTAATATTTATCTTATGATATATGTTGAGTTTTTTTTATTTTTTGTATGTTTGTGCACAGAGAAAAACAGCACAACGATTTGAACATGATGTACAAAATATTATTTGTCATTTTATAAAAATGTTTTATAAAATGTTTTTTCTTTTAGATGATAAAATGTATAACGACTTGATGATTTTGTTAAAATAATGAAAAACATTAAACAAATTTTAATAGCTTACTTTTTTGAATCGTTTTAATAATAATATCTTGATTCAGATAAATATCAGGTACAATTTCAAATCATTAGTACATTTTTCTCCATGTGTGTGCTCTAGGTGCTATGTTGTTTTTAAATTTAAACAACTTAATAAATAATTTATGGTTATCTATGGATCTCTTTTTTGGAATTAGCTCCCGTTTGATTTGAATTTTTATTTATGTGGCCACATGTCCTGCCGCCTTCTTTTCCCCGTATTTTGTTCGATGCGATTGCTTTGACCCACATACTGATGCAGGGGCAGTGGGCGTGGCGAGGAGGAGGTCACGCCCAGGGGAAATTCGCTGGTGGGTCTCCATTTCGAGGGTATCCAAGGTGTGTCGTAATCCTGATATTTACTTTGGTATTTAGCATCTGGCGCGATTCCTTGATAAATTCCTGGTGGGGCCATTCCCTTTGGATCCTGATGCACCTTCAGATTGAGCAGCAATTCACCATCGTCATCGATGAGATTGTACAACTGGACACCCTTGGCCCCCCGCAGTGGGTGGGCTCTTTCCAATCGTACTTGCTGCTTGACCTTTGGCCTGGCCACGGGTTTTGGTCTCTGGCCAATGAAACGCGACGATCGATCCTGCGACTGCAATTGCCGGAGAATATTGAAAGGCAGTAGTAAATCCGATTCGAAGGGCATGAAGCCACTGGCCCGCACTTTAATAATATTTCTCAGCACCGGTTGGTGGCCATAACTCTCAGTCAGGCCGAAAAGACTCAAAATCAAAAGGCCAAAAGGGCTCATCATGAAAAGACTGTGCATTTTCCTGGCAGTCGCTAGCGCATTTCACACGAGGATCACTATTTAATTGAAGCACTTAAATAAAAAAACAAACAAACAAATGGTTATTATTTTGACGAGACTGGAGCTAAAGAGCAGCGCGTTCTAGGCCCGTGTTGCACCAACTGAACGGACTTCAGAGACACAATCCGTGTCGGATTGGTTCAAGCTAAAGCCAAAGCCAGCTGACTGCGCTCGTAAAAGCGAATTAATTAGAGAAAATACCGTACGGTACACGAACAGTGGGGCAAAAGTTATGTGCATCAGAAATAAATTTGCTTAAATAGTTGAAAATATAAAACTTTTAAACAAGTTAAAAAAAGGATACGTACTATTTTTTTCACAAAGTTTTGGCGTAAAACAAGTGCAATCTTACTAAACAATTTTTTAAGTTTTGTTTTAATTATTAAGATTTAAACAATTAAAATATTAAATTAACTATAATGTAAGAAAAGCACATACTTAATCCATTAAATAGCTTTACTCTACTCTACAAAATTTTGGACCATGCTTAAAACTGTTAAATTTTTAAAAAATATTTTGCAATGCATATCAATTGATTTATCAAGTGTTCTTGTATTAAATACGGATTTTTAAAAATATATTATAATTATATATTTCTTCTAAAATGTATTTCCCAATACTTTTATAATACATCGTGTCCCAACCACTATGTCATATATGTCCAACACTTTGAGTTGAAAATAAAAACATAACTGGCCAGGCCTGGACGTTTATTGTTTGGCGGCCTGTTGTTGTGGCTCTTTCTTCTATTATTTCCTCTATTATGTTGCGGGCAACACAAATTTATTAAAACATCAAGTGAGTCAGCGTGTGTGCTGTGAGTGTTGGCTTGTAGCTGATTTATGCTAGAGTAAATGAGAATAATTCTTTGAATGCCTTGTCTGAATTGACATCAAACTGGTTCACGCGTCGAGAGTTGGCCCATTACGGTGGCCATTAAAACATAACCCGTCCACTCTCGCTGCCACTGGTGACCCAAACAAAAAAAAACCCAACTAAACACACACATCCCCGGCTCATTAGCATTAAGACAAAAGACACCCGCATTGAAAGGAAAATAAACTCTCTATGCAGATGCAAATTAGCAAGCTGGAGAAGCGTGGATCAGAATTTTCAGTTGACAATTCAAGCGCTCGAAATGCTCCACTGATCACTCTCACTGCTCCACATTTGCATATGGGCAGTTCGGTACAGTGCGTGCCATATCTGTATTCAACAAAAGCAGAAAGTAAAGGCAAAGTATAATTAAAAATGAATTGTTAAAGAAATATATTAATTTTGGTGCAAAAAAAAGGTAAAACTTTATATATCAAATTTGGTCATGCCTTAACAAAGGAATTGAAATTGAATGATAAACTTATTTGTAAAATTTAAAACAATAATATTTTTCTGCATTAACATTAATATCATCAGATGATATGAAAAAAAATGAATATATAATCAAAACCTGTTGCTCTTAATTCTTTAAAAATGAATAAATAAATAAAATAAATACTAGTTTCCTTTTAAATATTGATTTGCAAAACGGCTTTACTCCTCCGAAACGCACTGTATGAATTATCACTGGAAACCCCAGCTAACGGTAGCTAAATCGCAATCCCAACTGATTGACACATTGTTTTCATTCACAAATTCATTCAATTTTGTATTTTTTATTTTATTTTATTTTATTTCTCATAGACGTAGACCTTTGCTTAAGCACTTAAATTAAGAACAAATAATTTGCAAAAAAAAAAGATTCATATGCATAGGTATATATATAGGTAAATAAGACGAGGGATATCTGTACAATTAGACTTAGACATAAAAGTATAGCTAACTGACTAGAATTACGCTCAAAATTTTAAAGGGCTAATCAAGCTTAACTCTAAATGATTAAAATTCCGATTTTTGTTTTTTTTTTGGTTTTTTAACATTCTTTGGTCGTTAGTCCTCTGTTTTTTTTCCATAATATATATTTACATATACAAATACTGTTGCTTTAAATAATAAGTTAGGTTATTGATTAAGCTTTAGTCCAGGGTGATGTGAGGATTTGTGTAGGTGAAGCCATGGAACTGTTTCTGATCCATGGAGGCCAGTATCTCTTTATCGATGGGAGTGAGACGAACCCTTTCCCTGGTGAAGACCCGATCGAAATATTGCGTATCCAAGGGGTGTTTCTTTGGGAAAACAGAGCAAGATCAATAGGATCCTAAAAGTAAATTGCCTTCTCAGCACTTACCACTTGAGGCTTGAAGGGCGGCTCGATTAGCCGCTTTTCCAGTAATCCCCAGTCGATCGGGCGGAAGAATAGGTGATCGGCTATATCACCAGCTGGGCTATACTGCGAACCAATACGCTTCGTATAGTCCTTCTCCAGCAACTACCCATAAAAAGTTTAATATATATATATATACATATCATCATTTTTTTAATTAATTCAATTTATTTGATATTACCCCTTTGAGTATCCCTGTGGCCTCGGCGGAAATATAGACTGGGAACCATGGAATTTCATTGCAAATGGACCAGAAGAGCTCGTCCTCGTCGCAGCCACTGAATGGTGACTGTCCGATCAGCATTTCGTAGAGCAGCACACCAAACGACCACCAATCCACATTCTGATTGTACTTTTCACCCTGAATATGAGGAAGAAAAATATTAATAAATATGTTTGGAGCTGTTGCAAACGAAAATTTAGGTATTTAGAAAATTATTTATGTCACAAATCGCTTGTTCTTTATAATTTGTCTAGTCATTAAAATAACAAATGAAAGTACGAATTTGATTATTTAACAAACTATGTAGCATTTATTTTTATTTTATTTATTTAAAGTATTTTTATATATTCCATAAGTTGTTAGGAATTAAATATTTAATATATTCCTATCGAGATTAATATCGAATATGGCTTATTTTGAATTGTTATTTCCTTATTTGAAGTGAAAATATAATTAGCTTTGAATTACCTTAATGATTTCGGGCGCCATATAATCGGGTGTGCCGCAAAAGCTATCGGCTGTTTTATCCAAATAGATTTGCAATTTGCACATGCCAAAATCGGCAATTCGAACATGTCCCTCAAAATCCAGTAGGACATTATCCAGTTTGAGATCCCTTATGGTAATTCAAATGATTAATATGTTAAATAAAATGGCTCATAGTTCAAAGCTAATGCCCACCTATAGATAATGCCCTTTTTGTGCAGGAACTTGAGGCCCGAGATTATTTCGGCGCCATAAAATCTGGCCCGTTCTTCGGAGAAACGTCCGCTCTCCTGGATGTGGAACATGAGATCGCCGCCATTCAGATACTCCATAACAAAGAACAAGTGGCTCTGTGGAGGAACAGAATCCAAAAATATACAATTGATTTAACATAAAAACAAGTATTTATAATCAAAAAATATACAAAAAATATTAAAAATATAGCAAACAAAATAATGAATAATACACAAAAAATATATCCAAAGACTTACAATTCGATTTAGAATAAAAAAATATACAAAAATATTGCGATCGATTTAATATGAAAACAAGTATACAAAAATATAGCGAGCGATTTAGATCGAGAATAGGCGAGAGACTTATAGCGAGAATAAGCGAGAGATTGAGAGATCGTCCCCCAAAGTCATAAATAATTAAAATACCTTCTAATCGGTGTCAATGCAAGACGATTGCAGTTGCTGATTTTGCTGCTTTTGCTGATTTTGCTGCTTTTGCTGTTGCAGACGAAGCAGATGCAAAATTGGGATTGAGAGAACACAAAACGGACGGACAGGCACCCTGATCTACATGATGTCCGATCGACGTCGTGTGCCCCAATCGATGGCCAGACCCCAGTGCACTAAATATAGCACGTTTTACCTTTCCTCTGGCTAAAAATAGCCAGCCGATCGATTGTTCTATATGATAAATATCGATCAAGAGAGCAGACACACCTTCAAGTGGTGACCCCCACCTGAGGATTGCCTCTAAATGAAAACTGAATATCTAACTATAAGATGGCAAGTGCTTTGTGTTTTAAATACTGTTAACTGGAGAATTTCCTATCAAAAGTAGTATTTAATATAGAGATTTATTATACTACACGTAGCTGATTATTAAGATCAAACTAATTGTTGGTTGTGTAAAATATCAATATTAATACACAATTGTTGTGTTTACTTAGGGGTCATTGACCTATGTTGACCCTTCTCAAGGGTAATAAGCAAATGATTCAGATTTCAAGTTATTTGTTTTTTATCCAAGCAATATTGCAGTCTTTTTATTTAAAAGAATCCAAAATTGTTGCTTCAAATTTGAGTCATAAAGTATAAACAAACAATTTATATACCGGTAGCTACTATTTAAAATTCAAATAGCACAAGACTTGACTAAAAACCTTGTTCAAAACTGAAATTAATGGTTAAGAAATATGCAATCCAAAACTAAAATTTAAAATTTATGTGCCAACAAAAGTAGATTCATATAAATTATATTTAAATATTTATAGTTAAAAACTTACCTCCGTTTGGAAGGTGCAAAACAGATGACACAGATAGGGATGTTTGGTGCCCAGGGCCAGGACCTTGCGTTCAATTAGCGTCGAGTCCACATCGTCGTCCTCCAGGACGACATCCTTTTTCAGGCACTTAATGGCATAGTAGTACGTCGTATCACGCAGCTCAGCCAGCAGAACCTGATTAAAGTCGAGATTTAAATAAATTACTCAAAAGAAAAGGAAAGCAGAGATACTAAACTCACCTTGCCGAAACTTCCCTTGCCGAGAACGGCCAGAAAGTGGAAATCATCTACCGAATAATTCTTAAATCTAGGTATTACTGTTGCTGGCGCAGTGAAACGTCCGGATTTTTGGAATTGTGAATATGTATATGATGTTTCTGTGCAATCGAGACAGCAAGATTCGTAGAGGTAGATAAATAGATAGAGAAAGTCATGAAATAGAACGATTCAAGTTAGTTAAACTCGTTAAGTATATATATTAGAAGAGTATGCGTTCGTTGATGAGTCGTTTCCGATGGTCACTTGAGTGCAATTTAGGGCTAAATATGTGGGGGTTTATGTAGTATGTTATTTATTTTCGGCATACCATTATCTTCGCTGGCCTCGATCTTGTAGGCTGGATTCAAACTG